AATCATCATGACCACCACATCACCATCACCATCACTCCATCATTATAATCATAATATTCATCACCATCACCAAACCATCATCAACATGACCACCATTACATCATCATCAATATTCGTTATCACTATCGACATCTTAGAGATAAGGATTTAGAAAACCATGCGTGCTGTGGAATGTAAAAGTTGGTTACGAATACAAAATGGAAACAAAAATCAGGTATACTGTACCATGACGTTTTGGGGCTTCACGTCTTGATAAACGTATCCTATTTTGTGCATGGCTTCCAAAGCCTTAGCAATATCAACTGCAACATCCATGCGTCTCTTTCTTGACATCCCACGCCTCAATGACACCAGTAAATTCTCATTTGCCGTCTCCATTACTAGACAGAACTGTTCAGCTGTTTGGAAGAACCAGCCATTCAGTTGGAGATGATATGGACAGCACTCCTTGAGTTGTTCGGCTATGTACCTAAAAGTCAATAAATTCGTATCAACTTTTTTTTACAATCATCACTTCACGTCAAAGAGAGGGGCACTAGCACTACCACTATATTCACCATTTACACCAAACAACACAACAAGGAAGGAGAAAACAACACTTCTATGAGTAGCAAAACTTAACTCATGTGATTTTGTTAAAAATCAAACCAGCATTCCCAGGCTTGAACTACACAGCAGTAGACAGCATCATAGCAGCAAGTACCACCGATACACCTTAATAACGTTTGGTGCAGAACAACGATGCCAAAAACTCGACTTACTTGGAATGCATGCAATCAATCATGGTTTGGTTCCAGACATCAATTCCAACAGCAGACTTGGTGACAACTTTAACTACACAACTTCCACGCCCAGCACACCATTTGGGACTGAAGCAAGAATACAACTGACTATGCGAAGTACTCCTTACTTGTTCTCCGAGTTCTGGGGGGCCTCCACGCTCGATGACGTATTGCAAGCCGTGTCCCCTTACAGCGAGCTCGGCTACATGAGGAACGTAGTCTGAACGAAGAATGTCTATAATAGATGATAAACAAGATTTTTCGAGAACGGCATTAAGAACGCGGTAATTTTCAACTGTGTCTCTAAATAGCTGATGCAGCCTTAACAAAGATTCGTCGCATGCTTCTATCACCGACTCGCCCACGTGGTTGTAGTCGAGCTTTGAAATTAGAGTCTGAACGACCTTGCGTCTCCAAAGAGGATCACGTGGTCTCGGGTTACGCCCAACGGTAGTGACGTCAAAATTACTCAGTGGCTTTGAAATCTCCTGCCTTAGCGTGGAATTTACAGCGCTGTCAACTGTTTCTAAAAGCCCATCAAGTACGACATGCAGCTTAAGAAAGCCATTTGTATCTTGTATAGCCTCAGTCGAAACTCCAAAGATCCTCTGTACCAGATGACTGATTAGAGGGTGGGTTATTAGGTCACATTGAGTAAGTTTGATGAGTTCTCCAACTGCTTGAGAAAGGGCTTCTCTTATAACACCCTGTACGGAGTACTTTAACACGTTAAATGTTCTATCTAAAATAGCTCCTTTAAGATTGGACACAAATTCCATTAGCAAAAGCTCTTCTATACGAATCTCTTCCAGGAATTCTGGGTTTATTCCTACGGTTTGCTGTATTGTCTGAAATTCCTTCTGTACCGTGTTCCGTTCTGGAATATTATATGACTCCCCTTCGTCTAAAAGGGCGCTAGCCAGCTGCTCCAGGTCATGGCGAATAGTTGATTTAACTTCGAAACTTTTTAAGCCCAACTTCAAGTTTGCCTGGAATATTGAAAGCTCTGTTTTCAAAGCTTGGTCACACATTACAGGCAATAGATCAGCCGTCATTGATAGAGACTTTCGGGTATTTACTACAGAGTTCAGAATCATCTCCTGAGCAGATAGGAGTTCTGATAAAACCCTCTTACCGTCTCTTCTCAGCGCCTCCTCGAGTTTTTCAAGAATACAACGATGGAAACGGTTGAAGGCATCAGTCTCTTTATTCTGTAGTTTACCCCTTCGCGCAGTCTTTACATTTCTTGCCGAAACTCCGTGAAAAAGCGGACAATCTTTCATACTAGAATTTATGAGAAAATTTGCTCTCGTTAGCTGCCGAAACAATTTTTCCTTTTTCTCTTGGGCAAGTTCATACAACTCCTCTTCTGTTTTTTTTTGTTCATCGTCATCGTCATCGTTGTCAAATGAAAGAGCAGTTTGGTCACAATCTACTTTACTGCAAACAAACATCAAAGATACGTTTGGGAATTTATCTTGCAGCTCTCGAATTGTCGTTTTGTCCTAAAATATAGACAAAGACCCTAAATCAGTAATTTAGTTTTTTTCACTAAAAATTCAACCATTGAATTTTAGACCATCATGCAATATTTTACCACCAAATTGTCTTGCAATGCAATACGCGCCGCCTTAAAAACAAAATGGCCGACGACGACTCAAATAAGCAGTTATGTCTGTCTTTCTCTAACTTTCTCTGATGGGAAGCCAGGATTGGGAATTTAATTCAGATCTGAAAGCACCTTTATACTCTGTAGATCAAAGCTAGATGAATGCCCTACTTTAAAAGTAAAATATATCAAACTTTACATAAAGCTTTAATGAACTTCAGCTTTATATTAAAGTTAAGGAATTTTTTAATGTTGCATAACTGTTATGAATGTCACGTTCTGATTGGTTTGGAGCGCGTGCTTTATAAGAGCACATTGCACGCGCGCGCACTTTCCGTTGCGTCATTCCTATCTATTATTGTAATTTGTATTTTATAAAAGAAATAAAAAACTTGCTTGCTGTGCTGTGTGCAGTCATAAAGCACTTGGGGATTGGCAGAACACTCGAGAAGTGTCCAGAAGCACTCCGCTACACTTCGTGCTTCTCCTAACACTTCTCTTGTGTTCTGCCAACCCCTGCATGCTTTATGACAGCGCACAGCACGCGCACGTGTTTTCTATTTCTTCAGTTAATGGAGGGGAATGGTTATGAAACCTATTGTTATAGGTCTTTGTTTGCTTTTGATGTTGAACCGGTCTTGACTGTGCACAAGGTTTGATTTTTGCTCATCCAAAATTGCAAAATAAGTAAACATAAACTTTGTCTATGGGATTATTGTAAAGAATATTCAAATATCACTTATTGAACTAGCAGCCAAAAGAAATATTTTGGTCTGTTCACTCAGCCATTGCCAACAATGGTAAAACAAAGGATTGTGCAGGGTCACGCTTGAAAAAAGTGAACAAAGACATATAACAATGGGTTATGGGTTATAACCATTCCCCTCTATTAACTATGTTTAATGATAAGTTTTAAATTACTTTCTGTAAAAAAATCTCTTCAAAAACTAGACAAGGTTGTGTACGAAACCTACAATATGTGAGGTCATTTTTGACGCCATTTTTTCGAATGTATAGATACACCATATAGACGTTTCAATTTGTGTTACTATTGGTATACATTGGACTTTCAATTTATAGACTTGCATATGCAAGTCATGACTTTCAATTCAACAGGATATTACAGTATTAAGATTCTTTGTAATATATCAGGGGGGGGGGGGGGGGGGGGGGAGGGGAGTCAGGACCCCTCCCCTGGATCCGCCCTTGCTCACTCACCTCTCACCTCTGGGGTCTCAAGTTCACTTCCCGGACTTGGCAACACATGTAAGTATAGAGTTTGTCAATAGGCAGTCTCCTTGATTCAAGGGTGATCTTTCTCCAGGTTCTCCTCCCTCTGCAAAACCATAACATCCCAAATTCCAATTGAATCATTCAGTTAGCCTTGTCACGAACCCGACTTAGATCAACCCAGAGGTTGTTTCAGGATAAGATAAAAATTGTTTGATAGAAAGGTAAATAGAAAGTATCAGGGCTGTCAACTCTCCCGGATAAACCGGGAGTCTCCAGATTTTGGACCATATCTCCCAGTCTCCAGATTAGAGTCTCAAATCTCCCAGATAATCGCCAAAGCTGACCATTTCTTGTAAGACTTGACTTTCGCAACCATAAAATTCCAATTATTTTGTGTTGTTTGTGTTATATTACATCGCTAAATGCACTGATATGAGGCCAACCCTAAGTAAATGAGTTTGTGATCAAGTAACAAAGTGGTATTTGACTTAAATTCAAAAATGCCCTATTGGAATTCAGAACTTTTGATTTGTTGCAGAGGGAAAATAGCCATAGAAAAAGGAGGAAAAAGGTAGGTAGAGTGCATTTAGTCACACTGTTGAATAGTTTGATAAATTTATCCCGGGGCAGGGGGGGGGGGGGG